CAATTGACTGCAAAGACGCAGCTGGTAATCAATGAGTATTTTGGTGGACGTCCAGTAATCGATAATACGACCGCGCAGGGTTTTCTTGACGTGAGTGTTTGAGCTTGTCTGTTATTAAGAAGTGATTTGAAAAAGTATTTGTATTTTTGGTACAGTGCATCAGCGATCGCGGTTTTCATCATCCCTACTACAATGCCATCCGTGCTTATGTGCGTACAGTCGATGTGAAAAAGTATCCGGTCTATTTGTATAAGCTCAGTTACAAAGGTCATCATAGCTTTACGAGCATTTATACGGGTGGCATGCTTATTGGTGAATTTGGTGCCGTACATTGTGATGATCTAATTTACACCTTCCGTGCGCCTGTGATATTTGCCGATTTCAATCGGAGCTCGGCAGATGCATYTCTAGCCACGTATTTTACCCGAAATCTCGTTCACTTTGCCAAATGTGGGTGAGTTTTACTGTGAAAATAATGAAGGCACTTTCAAGTAGTGTAAGTAGATCTTGATTTTGGAGTCGCATATAATCTTTTAACGTAACTTGAAAAAATGATTGAGCTCAAAACTAAAATGGCTTTATATCGAATAATTTTACCTTAGTTGCATTGCATTTTCACAACTGTTGGTGACTCTTATATTTTTTGATAGAAATTGAACGATATGAGCTTGAATGCTGTTTTGGGGGTTCTGGGTTTAGGGAGTTCCTTCATTGATTTCTTTCAAAGCATATTTCTCTAAGAGTATATTATTGTTTTTGTATATACCTATGAATTATCTCTTCTACTTCCAGCAAACCGTTGAACGTAGACGCCTTAAAACCTTGCACGGCCGCTACATTTGACCAGAAATCGGATGGGATTTGTGATTATCAAGAATTTTCGAATTCTGGCAATGATTCTTTCAGAACTTCCACCAACAACAAGTTTAACGTGAAGCGTGTGAAACTATGGAATGCGATTCTCGAAATAGATGATTACTTGAAATTATACTGAGGTTAATTAGAGCAGTTATTTATAGAGTTTACTAATGTAGTATCTTGAAAGAGTGGGCACAAAACTCACACAAGCTGAGATTTTAGTATTAGCATTTAGATTTTTTTATTACATTTTTATATATTTATATAGATTTGAATGTCATAGTAGATTTTATAAAATAATATTAATTATTCTAACTTAATTATATAGCATTTAGTTTAAGATTATATATATTTGTTATACATATAWATTCATATGGGTGTTTTTCAGTTCTGAAGAATTGTTTGTATAATTAGTTCTTCCATGGGTTTTTACGTATTATAATTTGATAATTAAGTACTCTATAACTACTGATATGTTTTATTGTTATAAAGAGTGTCTAATAAAAAAATTGCAAAACAAAGCTGCCAAAGTTCAAACAGTTAAAAATATTGTTATTTTTATTATTACAAAAAACCTGCGAAAAATAATATTTTGTAAGGTTCCAAGTGATTCTACGACAGTAAAGAAGAAGAAGAATTTTATCTAATTTGACCCAGGCTGAGCAATTTTTTTTGTTCGTGTGAAGTTTGATTTTCATACATAAGTCACTAGGTGTGTGGCAGCTCTTTGCTTAAAAGACGAACAGTTTTTTAACATGAAAAAATGTAATAACAAGTTTGCTTGAACTTTTGTAATTCCAATGGAATCACTGCTCAGAAATCGTTGAAAATATTGCAGAAGTGTTTCGGTGAGTTTACTTTATCACGAACACAAGCATTTGAGGGGSGCAAAGTGTTCAGCGAAAGTCGTGAAGTCATCGAAAACTTGCCTAATCCACCTTTGTTAAWTACGATACTATTTATCTARGAGSTTGAAGAAATAGTGCTTGAAAATCRTTGTTTAGACATCCAAGAAATAACGATAATCTCAACGTTTCTCAAGGATCGACTCTCACATTTTGGCTAATGTTTTGGGYACTCTATACATATACTCAAATGGTAGACTTACAAAAATAACTACATAACTTTTGCWAAAACGACGTCAAGTAGAATTCGCAAAAGAAATCTTTGACAACTAGGACCCTATATCTATCAAACATGTGGGTTTATGAATACAAGTATTACGAAACGGAAACGAAAACTCTCTGAAGGCACTGAAAGCCATTTCCGMCGAGGTTTATTAGAAATATGGAAWATTTAACCAACKTTTAGGCTAAGATTTGCATTAAAATACGTGAAAATGAAGTTCTTCTCTGTTCGGACCAAATTTCATTAGGTGGTATACAAKCATATAATTTAGCTCCTCTTCACATAGCTCTACGAGAGCATTACAACCGAATTCTAACGGTAAAAAGCCACTGCATATAAAATATAATATAATATAAAAAAAATCCTGTAACAGTTTCTGTAAGGTTTTTGGGTTCTCATAAAATTTTTGAGTKATTCAACTCTATTGCTTCGTTATTAATAGATACATGGACAGATCGTGGTGCTTCGTCTTTAGTATTAAACCACAATCATGGTTGTATCTTAATATCGAGAGCGTCCATTGTCTGATTTAATTTCATCTATATAACCCATCATTCCTTGCCCTATTTAACGTACAATCGATCAGTTTTTTTAAATCTAAGAGGTATCTCTCTGATAATGCAACCAATAGCCGACTGAATAGGACAGTTAAATATTAATTTATTGGTTAAGATATTGATATCATTGGCCTCAACGTCCGCGCTGTAAGTTTTGATTTCTCCAGACTGGATCAGCAAGTGAAGGAAATGAGTCTGATAGTGAAATATCTCCTGTCATCAAAACACATTCTTGGCTCTCACGTCACTGTTGACTGTCATAACTTTGAAGTCGTAGATAATTTCGTGTATTTTGGAACCAGTATTAACACCAACAACAATGGCAGCCTCGAAATCCAACGCAGAATAACTCTTGCCAACGAACGAATAACGAGACAGCGTCAAACAATGCATGTCGTCCSAATGGATTAAAACGCTCCAGCTTTGAAAATATTAGATGTAGTACCCGCCGGGGGAAGAAKAGAAAGAGGAAGATCTCCACTCYGAAATCAGGTGGAGAAGGATCTGGCTATACTTGGTGTCTCCAATTGGCGATAACTCGGTTATAACCAAATAAACGGTGTCTAAAGTAAAAGAAAAAGAAACCAGTGTGGATACTGCAACTAACCTTTTCTTGCTTATCGTTTCATTATCAATTTGGTTGTGTATTTGAAAGTATTCACGTTCTCATTTAAAATAATTTAAAGAAAAAAATTACAAACTTTTTTATTTAAATTAACTTTGTTTCATTCATACGCAAATCAATTTGTTATACATTTTAGAGATAAAATTAGCAGGTGATTAATATTCCATTTCATTACTGAAATTTAAAGAACTCTTAAAATTTATCAGCCTTTAATAAGAAGGTTATATAAAAAGGTTCATTCAATATCCATTTCATCCACGCGACTACGTACGCGATTTTTCTTTTTCGACTTCTTCGTGGGCGACACTGGTGGAACCAGAAAAGTTTCTAGAAACTCAATGGTACTCAGGATCGTGTCACGGCTTACATTGCCAATGTGATCGCGATCGAAGTAAACAATCGGTTCGTTCGAGTTAGCGCAAGTGCAAGGTGTGGAGCGTAGTGGATCAAGCTGCTCAACATCGCTGGGGCTTGTAGTTGCTGAGAAAGAAATTAAATGTGTTGACAAAAACCAATAATGATTTTAGTTTTGTATATTAAATGTAATTAAGTTATAGAATAAATAATTTTATTAATTTAAAGTTTTTTTTAATAATTATTAATAATTTCTGAAAAAAAGAACTATTTTTCATGCATAACTATACTTTTTCAACAAAACATTTAATACCTACCGAAAAGTGGTCTGAAACACTGCTTTATCTGTATCCACTTTTGGCAAAACTGCTTTATRGCGCTATCGTTTTGTTTGAAAAATGTCCTGGCCGTTGCATCGACACGTCCTTGCATGAAGGTCGGTATAAAGGGCCATTTGCCTTTGGCGGCAAAGAAGCAAACTATATCTGTGATGACACCGCATTATCAATAATTTAAATATGAAAATGTTTTTAAATATTTACATGGAATATTGAAGAGATGGAAGAAGCCGCGCCGYTGTTCTAGTCCAGATTTCGCTAGTATGCCTCGCTCTTYTGCCTCTAAGCTCGGYCCGAATAAGCGGCCTTCCTTTTGAAGCGMTTCATCGGCGCTATCGGCCAGACTAAATGGTATCTCCTCGATGCGTACGCTGCGCAGATAAGCCTGACTAAGCGCCAGTTGGTGGAAAATCCAAAGGAGGCAGGTGGGCAGTACGCACCAGACAATTTGTTGCCTTAGCGATTTCATTTTTAAATTATTACTTTATAGTATTTGAATCTACCTAAATTTCCTTTCAATTTCGTTTGTCAAGCGTGACTTCTGTTCGCTTTCAGCGAATTATAAAATTCAACTGAATGTAGTTTTTCGCGAAAGTCCTGTATTGCCCTGCTATATCCTGTAGGTATCTATTGCATGTTGTTCACTTTAATTGCGAATGTACTTTGCAAATAACTATGGAAAATGCATGCTTTGCATGTTAGTGAATCATTGTTATTAATTTCCCTGTATGCTTGTGTTTATGTGTATGAGCAGCGCGTTACATAAAACTGGTTTGTGCGCATATAGTTTGCTGGAAAAATATGAATAAGTTAATGGGACTAAAGAGCAATGAACCGGACGCGGAAATCAGTGTTAGGTGTCATGAATAAACTAGTTTCTTCTTTTTATTTGGCTTATGCAACCAGCCACATTCCACATGTGTAAACGATTAAAAGTTAATCATACGCCCTGTAATACCTGCTGCAGTACTTTTATACTTTAGAAGCATGTGAAAATTATGCGCACCACGTTTCATTTTATTCTTGAGGGTGTACAAATAAACTGCRAAAACCTCTGAAATACCTTGTAATATCAAAAATATATATTTCTATACTGATTTCTTAACTCTTAGTTATATGCGCTGCCGGTTCTTATAACAATCCTCCAAGTATTGAGCCTCCACCAGAGGGCTGGTAGATATTATGAGATAATTTTGTTACAGAATAATCTTGGATAATCATTATGTTGACGAAAGTTGATAGAATTACAGAAAAAGTTCATTCATTCCAGCAATTGTCGAAAATATCGAAAAATATTAACAATAAATAATGAGATTCACTAATTCGCTAATAAGCACTCCCTCGTCGGATTATACTGATGAGCACTATCCGTTGAACGCTCTCGAGTTTCTTTGTAAGTGAGGTCTCTTAACACATAAATAAACCGTGGAACATAATGGGATTGACTATGGTATATGTAGTAGAGCCAGAGTACCACTTTCGGTGACAGATTCCACCTTTTACCAATGACTCGTATACAACAGTATAATGCAATTGATGCCTTTTTTGCTCTTTCTTCGATATACGGCATTCGTGAAAGCTTCCTATTAAGGATGAGCCGTAGATATTTCACTGTATCCGTTGGTTGCAGAAGGATGTTTCGCAATTGCGGCAGGGATGCCACCGGAATATTGTATTTTCTAGTTAATAAAACCATCTCGATTTTATTAGAGTTCATGGCGAGACCACTTATAAATGCTCAATGTGCCAACTCGTACATGGTAGGATCTTTCCTTTGACCATAAGTGCTACATCGTCTGCATAGGCAATCATCCGGCAGCCACGATTTTCAAGGTTTTTAAGCAAGTCGTTAACGACCAGGATATATAGAAGAGCGTTATGCTGAGCATATGCCTTGCACCACTGCGTTTCAATCGCTTTATCGCACAGAGGACTCAAAATGAGGAGTTTAAGGTTTTTCCAAGTCCATTCAGAGCAATAACGGCTGTCTCCGGAAGAACGTTATTGAAAGCTCCTTCAATATTATGGCTTCCTCAAGCCATGACACGATAGTATGCAGGGCAGTATCGGGACCCCGGGATGTAACCCAGCCTTTTGCAGTTGACATAAGTAGATAGAGGCAAAGCAGTTGCATGACACCTTACCAGCCTGCTGCAGCTGCGCTGGTATGATGCCATCCGGTACTTGGGAGGTTTGAATGAATTGATCGCCCACGTCAGGTACACTTCATGTGATGATCTTGCAAATATCAATTTGCGCACAGCGTCAATAGTTTGCGAAACAACGTTTTAGGATGACGTTCACAAAATTCGTCTTGAAGTGATCTACGAACTCGATCGAATTCATCATACCATCGACATACACTGATCTTTGATGACACTTCTTAGTCAAAAATTGAATTAAGCTTATCAGTTTACTGTTGCTGAGTTAATCAACGTCGACCGTTACAAAAAAAATTCTGAGATGAATATTTTTAATTGCTGTTAGCAGTACAAATAGCGTTTTTATGTCAACGTACTTTGCATATTTGCCCAAAAAATAAGGTGACATTCACATTTATGTCAAATTTCATGTCAAAATATTCATTAGTGTTTGAGATACGTGTCGTTTTGTGAGCTGCTAAAAGTGAGTGAAATTTGTTGAGCAAAGAATTTGCATTAAATTTTGTTTACGGAATCAATTTTCTGCTGCGGATACGTTGAGGATGGTGATGAGGCTATGTCTAAAAAAAATGTTTACAAGTGGTATAGCGAATTCCAAGCTGGCCGTGAACGTGTCGAAGACGAAGAGCATCCAGGGTGACCATCAACCTCAACCGACGAAGCTCACGTTCAACATATCAAAGATTTGGTGTTGAAAAACCATCTATTAACAATGGCTGGCTGATGAAGTTAGCATATCGAAAGGCTCTGCCAATACCATTTTGAAGGATGTTTGGGCCTCAAGCGCGTCAAATCTCGACTGGTACCGAAAACATTGAATTTTTTGGAAAAAAAGCGTCGCGTTGAAGTGTGTGAAACGTCATGAAACGCATTATAACTGGCGATGAGACTTGGATCTATGCTTACCACCCCAAAACAACCGATCAATCGAGCGAATATCGTGCCAAAAAAGATCCGAGACCAAAAAAATCGCGCCAAAATCGCTCAAAAATCAAGGTCATGTTGACTGTTTTCTTCGATTATMGTGGTGTTGTGCATTATGAATTCCTTCCAACCGGTCAAACAGTCAACAAGGAATATTATTATTACAATTACACCACGATAATGCACCATCCCATACTGCCCTCGTAATTCGTGATCATTTCGCTAAAAACTCAACCCATATCGTTCCGCAGCCACCGTATTCACCTGATCTGGCGYCGTGCGACTTCTGGCTGTTCACCAAGCTCAAAAGACCGCTCCGGGGACACCGTTTWTATRCGATAGAGGAGATTCAAGCCGCAGCGAAGACGRAACTGAAGGCCATCCCGGAAAGTGACTACAACCARKGYTTCGAAGATTGGAAAATTCATTGGCATAATGTACAACATCTAGTGGGGATTACTTTGAAGGGGATGAAATTGATTTGGAAGAATAAATAAAGAATTTTCAAAATAAATACAACGTCACCTTATTTTTTAGGCACAGTCGAGTGTAAGTGTGTAGTTTAATTTGTCGAACTCGGAAATGTTAAACTTTACGATAACGTTGTGAGTTGATTTTTGACCGATTTTTTCAGAGACGTTAACGCGACGCTGTTTTTCGAAAAAATTTAGTGATTTTGGAACCAATCCTGCTTTCACATTTCTTAGGCCCAAATGTTCTTTCAAAATTGTTTTCACCGATCCGCTCGATATTCCAACGATGCCAGTAAGCGCTCTAACAGTTAGTCGTCAATTCTCAAGCAACAATTTCTTTATTTTATTGACATGTTGATCATCAGTTAATGCTGATGACGGTGGTGGACACGACTCAGAAAGACAAGGCCTAACACTAATGATTATTTTGATGTGACATTTGGCACATATGTCGTTGACAGCCATACCAGCCTAGAAAAAAAGATTTCGACCAACGGGTTTTAGCGTGAAACTTAAGTTAAAAAGTCTTATTATTTTTTGCCCACAGTAGTATATGTATTTTATTGAAAACAAATGAAAATATTTTCTTGAACGCATTTCACATTTATTACAAAAACAGTGAGATAAATTTAATATCATCATTGCATACTATAATACATTATATACTTAAATCATATTATATAAATATACCTATATATTTAACTTATAAATTAGCACTTCAGTAAATATATATATTTTGCACAGACTTAAAAATTATTCTGAAAAAATTAAATTTAACTTATTACTTTTTCAAAAAGTAAATAATTCTCGTAAAACTAATTAATATATACATATATTTTATTATRAAGTATTATGATATGTGAATGCAGTAAAGCAATTGAAGGCACCTTTTCGATTGGCATATTAAAGCTTCCAATTGTAGGAAGCGATAGTTCTTTTTTGTTATTTATACACTTATACTTTATATATTTTATATCKATATATGTAAATAACTTGTAATTTGTTAAACTAATATTTAATTACATATTAATTTATGTACAAATATTGTCAAATTCACTAAACGAAATGATTTTATRTTATTGCATTACGAAAGAAATTTTACACTAAGCGAAGCTAAGGTTACAACTTTTAATACTTTTACGTTTACAGGGTGCTCTAAATGTACGATATTTGTAAAAATAACAAGAAAATTGTTCAACTATGTTTACTAGTGTAGGCACTTGTAGTTTTGGCAAAACGATTTCACCGTCAGTTCGTTGCAATTCGATATCTAAGTTCGTATTTAGTACTTTTTGGCACCACTTTGCTGTATGGCGAATTTATCTAACAACTAAATGTATTCGAAAGTAAAAAAATAACGGAAAAAACTATACACTACCCTCCCAAAGCGGCGCAGGCATTAAGTAGTTACACTTTCAGTAGTTGCTATAGTTGTAAATAAATTCCTATTTAATTGCAGCTATTTATAGCATTTGTACATATAAAATTACGCGCTATGTTTTTGTTGTCGTTGTTGTAATTAAGCGATTACGCACAATCACAGTCCTGCAGCATTGTGCGATCGTTGTGACTCTTGAGTGCGAGCGTGGGCGACACTAACGGTTGCTGTTTGGGCGGCAGCRCATTTACTTTGGTTTTGGCCTTCGACTTCTTCTTCTTCTTCTTTTTTGAATTGCGACGACAGCAGTACCATGTAAAGACTGTAAATAAAAGGAAGGGGAATTCAATTAATTAAATTGTTTAATAGTTTTTCATCATTTTAAGATTCGCGTACCGAGCACAGCCAATGCCGCTGCCACTGCGATCGTCCACCAACGCCAGCTGAGCACTTTGGCAAGTTCAGCCTCTGCTTTACAGCTTTGATACGTCGTTGAATTGACAGTTGCGTTATATGGATCCGGACATTTGGTGTTGTCGAGGTCATCTATAAATAGATTTTATAAAATGTTYAGTAATTAACTAATGGGTTTTGGTTAAAGAGAGGCAAAATAAACGAATAATATAATAATAACGTTGTAAAATGTTTATCTAAAAATTATGATTTTAATTTCATCGTTAACTGGATATTTTATTTATTTTATTACTAGAGKAYYCGGCCACGMTTCACTTTGGCTGATACATAGATAATACTACTACTACTACMTATATGATTTCTATTAGTTGGATTATAATTATTAGTTRATGCGATATAGCATTTCTGTGAAGCAACTTGTGTTACGGTTCATAGAGTATTTTGAATGTTAATGAATCATTGCTTTTTGGAGGAAAATACTGTKGAATTTGAGCTCAGTGAAATCCACCRATGAAAAGTTATTTGCTAAGCTTAAAGAGGCRAAAGCTCTGTACAAAGTGGGTGCCTCGCAAGTTCATACTCCAACAAAAACAACGAATAACTGATTSTGAGAAGTGGTTGAGTGCTCTCTAAACGGAATAAAGCCGAATTTTTGCGTYGGTGATAGAAACAAAGCTCCATCATTTCCCACTGGAGTCCAATCGACAGTCATTCTAGTCGACTGCACGTGATGAACCCTCAGGCGTGGGAAGACGAAAAGGGCGGCTGGAAAGGTTATGACATCAGTATTTTGGGATGCTTGTGGTATAATACATTCTCAATAACTGATTACTGAGAAAGTTATAATCTATTTCACTGCATATTTGGTTGCACTTCTTTTCTACTATTCCAAATACTTAACAATTGTATTATTTTTTATGAAGAATCTRTTTAAAATTGTACGCKTATATTCAAATRATTCCTACAAATATGAATTTTGAACAAATAATTATAATYTGAAATATTATATAATCTTTGTTTTTATGAGTTGTATTGGATTCTAATATAAAGAAGGGGGTAGCCTATGTCCTTACCCTGGTTYTGCACTGCCTCCAATTTTCAGCCGAAKCAGTTCAGCCGTTCTTGTGTTATAAATGGTGTAACTAACAACAACTTTCTTTTATATAATATATATAGATTAATTACTTTTGGCAAAATTTTAGAGAACTATATTGTTAGTTTTTTTTATAAATATGCGTGTATGAGTTTAAATTACTTGTATAAGTGCGAATTGTCTTATAATGGTATCATATACATTCCTAAATTAACATTTCCTACTTTTCTTTTGATAATCACACAGCCTAAAAGTATGCAACACCTATAGAATTGCAAACCGTCTGCGATCGGTACAGACGATCAAATCTATTACAATTTGTTGTATTTGTGAGTGATTAGTGATTACTTGCAGATCTACATACTGTGTGTGTAATACACATACATATGTTATTAGTACTCGTGTCCAATTTAAAAAAATTATCGTTTTTTGCATGTTTCGATACTCTACACCGTTAAGAATACCATACGAAAATTTTATTTTTTTTCTGTCTGTTCTGTATGTAGTTCTCCATATGATTAACTAATAGATATTGCTATCGAATTTTGGCAGGCTAAAATTGATAAAATTTATGGCAACCATTCAACTTTTTTCAAACTGCATCCTTTGTCCGTTTTTGGTTTATTTTCTCGATCGTTTCATTCTACGGAGAATATGTGATAGAAATAGTTTGTTTAGCTTTATTCACGGGGAAGACCGGAATCTTTGCAGTGGTGGCGAACGTTTTCGTTGGACAGTAAGTGTAACTCGCAGAATGCTTAATATTTTTCTTCAAAAATTATACTGTTTGCTTTTAAAATATGTACAAATACCTTAAAAACAACTACTTTTTTAGTTCGCAAAAATTAGCCCTTTTTGGGGCGTCACAAATGGTGTGTCTTTGAAGGGGTTAACAAACGTAACAAGGCTTTAAAACACGAAGATTTTTTATGATCTCATTTCATTCTGTAATATCTATAGAATGATGTCTCTCAAGTTGGTACGAGTAATAGTTTTGGAGATACAGTCCTGAAAAGTTGCGCGCTCGATGCCAGCAATATAAGTAAGATGAAAATGATGAAATGCCAAACAATACTGTGAAAAATTACATTAAAAAAGCTGTCATTTACACGAATTCCGCCTGATCTGTCCAAGAAAGTGTCTACTTGTATCACCCGTAAGTCTTTAATGCGTAACTTTAAATTCGTTTTACTCGAAACTGTGTCAAAATTGGTTATCAAGATTTCTCGCGAACAGTTAAACCGATCTTAATAAAATTTTTCACTGGTCTTCATTCAAGATCATGTAGAACGATATATTTTTGTTAATGACAATTATTTTTATTTTCAAATGAGTTAATACAGTATACCAAAAAAAAGTTTTGGACTGCACTGTACTTGCAGCCTTAATAAATGGGTGAATGAGTCACCGGATACACATATATCAAATGTAGAGTTTTATTAGCAATAATGTTCCAAGAAAGGTTATTGAGCAAAGAAAAATATGTAATAAAATATCGCATTAAATTTCTTGGCCATCATTACGTAAATCGCGAAACTTTTCCATTATGTTTTCAATCGGAATTTAATGAAGCTAACTGAATTAAAATACTATTTGATGGTCGGGCTGACATAGAAACTGGGAATGTGTGAACTATAACGAGTCGATGTCGGTCGTAGTCGAAAACGATGGTCTCTCATTAAACGATTATCAGTTAGTACTCTTTCAAGGAACGGAGGTGAAATGAATGYTCCTTTTCAAAAACGAAACAATTTAGTATATTTTATATCCATTCTTTCAAACATTATATAACAAATTACCGCAAGTGTAAGACTGAAAAAATTATCAGTTAGAAGTTAAGTTCAAACCTCATCAAACTAATATTTGTGTTTTATTTTTAAGATTTTAGTATTTTCTCTGGTAATTTTTATAAACATTGGAATGCTCTTCTAACAAAGCTTACTATTTTTTAAGTATTTAATATTTTTTAACTTACCCAAAGATATCGGAACATATTTAGAACTGGCGCCAATATATCGCAAGTAACGATTCACTTGTTGGAGAGCGCAATCACTGATTTCTGTTTTTGTCAGATCCATTGTACGCAAATTACACATATTGGCTAGTGTGTCCACGGTGAGATCAGTCAACGGATTGGATGAGGCATTAATTTGCCAAAGTTCTGAAGGAAAAGTTCAGAAGAAAGTGTGTTAAGCGTTGAATAACCGTGTAGTATATTTGAGAGATTGATCAAAGGTTGATTATRGGTATATACATATTTATAATATTTAATTACTCACTTGGCAGTACACCCAAATCGGGCAGGTCCTCTAGGCCGCAATCGGCTACATTTAAATATTCCAGCGGTGCTTGTATTGGTGTTTCAAGAACCTAAAGGAAATTATTAGAATTTATTTTATTAAACGATGGTTAGAATTTATTTAAAATTTCAGTTTAACTAATAACTTTGGTTTATTAAAAAAATTGTAATGATTGGGTGTGTACAAACCTGTAGATCGCGGTCCAGATTAAAGAGCTCGTTACTGTCAACATAAAGATTTCGCAATGAGGGTAATTGAAAGATTTCCAAAGGTATTGAGACGAGCGCATTATTTGACAGATCGATCTCCTGTTAAATACACAAAAAAATGAAATAAATAAATATATAATATAATTGTATAATTATAATATATAAATACCTATCAATTATAATTAAATTTACTAATTACTTAAACAAAATGTCATCACGCTAATATCACTTATGCAATTAACAACTGCACCAGTGCTATAGAGCGCATGCAATGTTCTACAATGCATACATATGTATAGATATATATATATATATTTGTGTACATATGCATATATGTGAGTATGTGTGTACGCCTGCACTTACCTCCAATGATGTTAGTGGCGCAAATGTGCCCGACTCCACCGATTGTATCTTATTCTCATAGAGCACTAATATTTTAATACTTGTGTAACGTTCAAATGAGTTGCGTTTGAGCTTTTTAATGCGATTGAATGCGAGATCCAGAATCTGTAATTAGGCGGGAAAGCAAATTTAGTTATAGTAGTTAAACTGAGCACTGATAAGACGCACGAAATAAGTGCACTTCCTGCACGGTTTGCGTGAGAGTTAGATATAAAAAAAAAGTTTTAGCTTGCTCTTGTGCATGTGTGTGTATTGTATGTACCTACATATGTATAGTATAGTAGAGACCCTGATRGAAGAATGCGAAGTCATGCAAATTAATTCGAAATTCCTAAAAATCTGCGGTCTTTCGATTAAGAATTGATTTTATATGGGAACACGGAGCTAAATCAGACGAATACGATGGCTGTGGCACGGTATTGGTTATAATTTGGCGAAAAACTTACAAAGAATGAATGCAGTATATGAAGKTGTGTAACACTCAATTAGTTCCCTGTTGTCCGTTTGTCAACATAACATTGGTTTTAGGCCTGCTTTGACGTGGTTTTTTAAGGTTTCGGCTCACCTTTGTCACTATATTCGGCCGATTGATCGTCAGTTTCCGAGTCGTAACGTCATCAATAGTACAATACATTTCGTGACATCCTTCTAGTCGGAAGCATTTACTTCACAAAAGTTTACGCGACACTGTTTTCGAAAATAATGAGTGATTTTGGAACCAATCGTGCTTTCACTTTTTTTTTCAAAAAAGTTGCTTGACAATGTACCTTAATCAAACTCATCAATATAGGTGACGAAAGATGAGTTTATGAATTTTTGAAAGTGTTCAACCKAATGACGCTTCAAAAATCAGCCGTAACCAAAATTGTCTGAAGWCACTCAAAGTGATCCCGACCAAAACTTATAACAAGTAGTGCAAATTTGGTTTAAGTGCAATTTTTATATTGACCCAGGAGCCTATTTTA